TGCAATATACACCCATGCATGGAACCATTGTAAACATTAATCTGATTAATTGTTAAAACGTCTGTTTCCTGGAATTTCCAGCACTAAAGTGTCGTAACTTGGAATGTTATTAAGTTGACAATATATCGCGATTTTAAAGTTTCGGTAACCCTGGAATAAAAAAGGAACATTAAAAAAATCTTTGGTTGTTATTGTTTATTTTTGTTTTATTATAATGTTTCCATTTTGTTGTTATGTATGAAGTTTAATAATGAGCCGCGTATTTACTCGTTACTGTTTCTAAAACAAAGACATGTTGATACTCAGTTCCTCCTACGAAACTCTACAATGTGCTAAAGTATAGGTCATACAGGCATTGGTAATAGGTTTTCGTCTGGATATAATAGTAACTGTTCTATTAAAAGTAAAAAGTTAAATAAAACAATGATCACATTAATCAAAATCAGTTGCCACGAATTTTGGTCTCGTGATACAAAATACGATAAACTATCCGTATATATCTCGCATATATCCAGAAATTATTTGCTGTAAACAGGCCGCATTAGTTCACTTATAGTATAGTCAGTGTGTGTAATGCACAACCACACAAAGGATCATTCTCCTCACACATCTCTTCATTGTCTTCATATTGCTGTGCCTACTTGGTTTCAAATCATTTGGACAAAGTGCAGCTCGATCTGTATATCATCGTAATTTATCCGTTATCACGGCCAGATATTGCTGAAGTTACCAGTTTTGTTAAAGTTTGTGGTTTGTACTGCCAAACCAACATATTAACATTGTTTAAGTTTTTACTTACATTATTCTTAGAAGATCCCTTAAGATTTAAGATTTGTTTTAATAATCCTTTTTTAGAATTCAGTATCCCACATAACAATATAGCGGTAATACGTATTTTAATTCATCTATCTAATCTCTTGTAATGTAGTTGACTAGTCGAAAATTCGATCGGATCCACCGTCGGACTTTTCCCGCTTTTAGTTTTTGTCCAGAAATCCAAACTGATGGATAAATGGGGTGGGGACTCCTTGTCATAGAAAACTCCTCTATCATTCGTATCATTTTCTGACGAACCAACAATAAAATTGGATGATCGCCATTTCCACGTGTTTTCCATACTCTCCACATTAAAGCAGTTTAAATACCAAGTATCGTTAATCAAATAGTATTATTCCTAACTGTAATATCTAAACCGTCCTATCTACTACTCTGTTATAGTAACTTTCACACCAGATTATAAAAAGGATCTTATTATATATGAGTATGGTGGCACTATTGTAGGTAGTAGATGAGACCGAGAGGTGGACTATCCTATCTTATCTTTGTCATTGTGGTTCAGGTAAGATCACTCAACCACAAAGTGTAGACGTATCACCACAACATGAGACTGCAGCTTACAGCCTGTTTAAACGGTTTAATACCGATCCCAAATAAAGTAATATATCAAATATCCCGTCGGAATCAGTTCTCTGGTGCCTGTTAGGACTGCAGTAAAACTCCGTGCTTCTATAACTAGGATTTATACAGGAGTGAGAAGTTTGTTTTAAATTATTCCTCCTTTTACTGAAAAGTAAAACACCTGGCGCCCAGCCACATTATTATATATGTATAGGCCTGCATTTATGGTTAATTATTTGGGGTCTGAATTTTCCAGAAATATAGGCTGCATATTTGTTTGTTGTTGTCAACATATTTATTTTTAATAACACCTGTTCAAACACTGTATTTAAATGATTGTGACTTTCCGGCTCCGAATTTGTAAGCATCACCGTAACTCCGTAAACAACTCTTTTTTCTTACTTTCCTTTGCTTTTTGTACGGTGATGTCCACATCTGTATTACACACTAGTACGTGAACAAGTGTGCACAATATTGCTTCTCTGTGATTGTAGCGCTCGTGTCAGGACACACTAGTAAGTGAATTGTGCTCAGTTTGCTTCTCTGCTGTGATTGTTAGCGCTCGGTTCAGGACACACTAAGTAAGTGAAGTGTGCTCAGTTTGCTTCTCCTGTGAATGTTAGCGCTCGTTCAGGACACACTAGTAAGTGAAGTGTGCTCAGTTGCTTCTCTGTGATTGTTAGCGCTCTTTCAGGACACACTAGTAAGTGAAGCCGTGTGATCAGTTTGCTTCCTCTGGATTGTATAGGCTTCGTTTCAGGACACACTAGTAAGTGAAGCAAGTGTGCTCGTTTTTTGCTTTCTCTGTGATTTAGCGCTTTTTCCCGTTCAGACAAACTGGTAGGAGAAGTGTGCTCAGTTTGCTTCTCCTGTGATTGTTAGCGCGCGTTTCAGGCACAAGCAAGTAAGTGAAGTGTGCTCAGTTTTTGCTCTCTGTGATTGTTAGCGCTCGTTTCAGGACACACTAGTAAGTGAAGTTGCTCCAGTTTGCATCTCTGTGATTAGTAGCGCTCGTTTCAGGACACACTAGTAGTGAAGTGTGCTCTGTTTTCTTATCTGGATGTTAGCTCTCGGTTTCAGACAGTTTCCTTCAGTGTAACTTGTAGCTGGTATAAAATCGTTGGGAGGATTTCTCAGGCTTTCCCTGGAACGAAAGCTAGTGAAATTTAACCAGTCAAAAGCATAGGGCGACTTAAAAGAATCAAAGAAAGATCAATTTGTGCTATGTGGCAAGTACTGACGAAAGTTGCGTACGTAGCTCACAACACTTAGACATTACAAGGAAATCCCAAATTCCCCTAAGGTAGGAAAGTTTAAAATAAAACTTACGGGCAGTTATGGAGAAAATAAAATGACAGACGGTGAATAATTAATCATTAAGATGCTTTAAACTGTTGTGGCGTGCGAATATTCTTCCCCGCATTATTTTCTTTTGTTTACGTTCTCTTGTTGAAACCCCCCATGTAATATTGGAGACTTGCATTACAAAGAAAGTATAAATGCGAATATTTTAATCTATGACTTCTTCTGCCCAATAGAAGTGAGAATCAAACGAACACCTTCTCGGTGAGTTCTCCTAACATATCAGTTTACTACGACGGTGGACCTTGGTCAGCTAACTCCTACAACAGCGGAGGTAAGAACCTGGTCATGCAGGATGATGGAAACCTTGTCCTCTACAAAGACAACGGTGAAGCAGTCTGGAACACTGAAACAGACGGTAAATGCTAATCTTTTACGTTTGAAACTCTTCGATTATTGTAGTGCAGTTCGGCTGTAATTAACAGTATGAAGTTTAATTTTATAATTAATATTTTTATTTGGAAATTGAAATCTCATTTAAAATACATTGCTGTAGTGATACATTTTGACTATTCGTTTAAATTTAATCTGCGTTTCATTATTATATTGTAAACTTATCTAACTTAAAATTCGAATGTATCCTGTGTTTCCTGTATGAAAATTGGGCTCCGGATATTCAGCTTCCAGTACCTCGATCGTGACTTTTGTCACTCATACTGACCCCACTTATTGGTCAATGGTCAAAAATTCAGCCAAACTGATTAGTCACTGGTCAAAAATTCAGCCAAAACTGTGAAATGTTGGTCAAGGAAACGGCAGAAAAGCTTCTATTAAAAAATCTTTCAAAATTTCTCCTCCTATTCTGCGAATTTTCCGTTTATCAAAGCTCTCTTGGCTAATCTAGCTTTCAGTAGCTCAATCCTGTCTTGGATTATCCACAGTGAATTCACTAATTGGTTATTCAAGAGAAATATAGTAAAATCAGTGAAATTTGGATTTATAACACTAGCCAAAACAACATATTTGTTGAACTTGAACCACATGGAATATAACACTGACCGTTTTCGTGACAGGTGGAAGAATTAACCATGGCTGGGTGGCCTAGTGGTTAGTGGTTAGAGCTTCCGCCTTCTGTGTATAGGGTTCAGGGTTTAATCCCAGTGTCACTCAGAGTAGGGAGTAGCTACGGATTCATTGGATCTATGCAATCTCCTCGGTCGAGGCAGCCGAATGATAGGAAACTTGATTGGGGGTTAAATGAGGAGGGGTGCCTGTTAAATGATGAGGGGTGCCTGTGCCAAAGAGATCAAGAATCTTAGGATACTCCATCAGAACATCTACATTGTAGTGTATTGTAAACAAGGGCGGTCGAACTATTCGATGACCCTGTAGCGGAATCTACAACCTTTACAAATTATAAGTCCACTAAGCAGCATTACAAAATAAAACACTTTTTCCTTGTTTTACTTCTTGTGTTTTTCTGGTGTTGACTCAACACCAGAAAAACACAAGAAGTAAAACACCGTGTTGAGCCCCAATTTTGCATACCGGGTCAAACAGTTCAATTAGTCCTACCCCTTCTTTGGAGGAGATTTCCATATAGCCTGCTGCACCGATATCAGTTGCCATTGATTTCCCTTCTTCCGGCGATATTGTGCACAATTCCTGTCCTCTGAGGTCGATCTTAGAAGTGACCAAGATAGTTGGGATTCTAGAACAATGAAATCTCAACTCAGGCGCCCAGTGATTTTTCACCATCTCAAAAGCCTCGACAGTCCCAGAAACATCGAAAAGAATGATAAAGACATTTGCTCCAGGGTATGATAACGGCCGTGATCGATCAAAATCCTCACCTGTAACAGTGTCCACAATAGTTAAGCCAACAGGTTTCCCATTTGATTCACAGTGTGCAGGATCCCACCCCTATCAGAGCCATTATAGGCATCGTCATCTGCAGGAAATTCCTTTCTGTGGTATGTGAAGATCATGCTCGACTTTCCAACTGTCTCCAAACCAACAACAACTGTTCTGAGAGTGAGTGAAGATTTCTTAAACATAATCCTGACTTAAGAGAGTAGGAGGGATCATAAACAAAAGCAAGCTGAATCACATTATCACCATGGTGTTTTAACAAGAGTAAATATAGGAAGACCAGAGAGCTAAGAAATATTTCAAGAATCTAGACCTAGTAATTTTATCGTATAACAATCCCCCGAAGAGTGTTTGGATGTTATTGTAGTGTAAAAAGAATTTACAGTAGGATGCCACAACTTATTTTTTTTTATTTCTGTTTTATCTTTAAATGGCAGGATGTTATAACACCAAGGAAAGCTTTAAATTCAAGTCATCAAAACACTAATATAATAATTTGAAAGCTACAAACAATATTATAACAACATTACTATAAACACTGAAAACTAAAATCTTTAAAATTGAATTACAAATAATAATTGAAAATTTCTGACTGAATAAACAAACGGATTACAAAGTGGGAAACAAATTACATATTGCTTCTCTTCTCTGGTTTGATCAGATTTACGTTTTCTTAAGATGAAAAATAAAATAAAATTCAGAAAAGAGATATCCTTAAAACATTCAACAATCAATAACATTAATAATCCCAAGATCAATATCATGCCTAATGCTGACAACCCTACTATACTGTACTAAAAAGTTGGTCCTCTTTTTAACTCATAATAAGGTGCACTTTTGTGTGGTCTTTTTTTCTGTCGTTGGATTCAGCACTGATTTTATTGCTCGATCAAAAACTGTTTTCAAATTTTCGCCAGTTAAAGCAGAACATTCAATATGATCTACAGCCTTGATTCTCTTCTTTACTTTTGCTCCTGCAAAAGGAAGCAATTAGAATATAGACTATGTTATAATATCAAATCAATCCAAGACAATATAATTGCTGATTCTTAGGCCTTGATAATTTGATTAAAAAACAGCCTATAGTCAGACACAAAGTACAACAAGTGGAGGATAGTTAACCTTCCTCTGTTGCAACAGTGGGGCCAGTGTAGCCTGGATCATCACGGAGGTCACATTTTGTACCAACGAGGATTTTAGGAGATGAAGGGCGATGATGACTCACCTATCAAACAGATTATTTACAGTAATTATACAAAATTACAGAAAGAATAAAGAAAAAACATGCTGAAAGCAGTGGCGTAACGAAAGGCCCTGCTGACCCCGCTATACAGGGGGCGCCGTCTTAGGGGGCGCCAAATCGTCGTTTGAATGTGGGACAATTTCGAAAACTTAACTAACGTACTAGCAAAACTGTGCGTTTTGCTCTAGATACACACTTTTTTAGAGATTTTACCGGCGTATTCTCTAAAATCACCTAATTTGTTCAATTTTAGGGAGGGGCACCAAAAGGGGAGGGATGCCAACAGGGGGGGCGCTTTTTTTGGCAGGGGGGCGCCAACAGGCAACGTTACGCCACTGGCTGAAAGTCCTTTCCTTTCTAAAACAAACAGATTTGAATAACAAGGATGTAACACATGCTTTTCTAGAAAATAATTACTTTTACCTCCATGTTCCAGCATTCTTCGACATTTGCAAGAGATGCAGGTGCTCCAATGGAATAACATATCAAAAATACATCAGTATCAGGATAGCTTAGCGGCCTCAATCTGTCGTAATCTTCCTGTGCAATACAAGTACAATCGAATTTTAAGCCATAACTCAAAAGTATGCAAAATAACTTTTAGGAAAACACAATTTTTAGGAAAACACAATAAAAATTCGACAAACCTGCCCAGCAGTGTCCCAAAGTCCTAGATTAATCGGTTCTCCGTCAACAACGACATTAACCGTGTAATTGTCAAAAATGGTAGGGACATACTCTCCAGGAAAAGAGGCAGTACTGTAAACGATTAGCAGACATGTTTTTCCCACAGCCCCATCACCAACAGCAACACATTTAAGAGTGCGCATTGCTATATTTGAAAAATCTCATGTTATTTTTTAAATCATCTCATCAAGGTGAAGTATAAGAGTATTTCAGTATTTCAGAGGAACAGCAAATTACACAAAAATTGTACCAATCCGTTATACAAAGAGTTGTAGTTCATTTTTACCAAATCAATACCTAACCAGACCTCACAACCTCAACATTGAAAGATTGCAGTCTTGAACACAGGTTGTAAGAAATAGTTCCCAATTAAGAATTTATAATGGATCCCTATTATATTCACTATTACAATTTTTAACTTTGTTTTCATCTTTCACTTGAAAGACAACTAAATGGCTTTTCTCGAAAAACAATGTCCTACAAACCAAACTAAAAACCTAAACATTTTGAGACCGTGAATAATTCCCGTGAATTAATCTTCGTGGAAAATTCTTAATCATTCTTTGTTCTTAATTTGATATCAGCAGTTTAAATTTCATTTAAGTAAATTGTAGATATTTCAATCATAATTAAAAGCTACAGTGGTATTTTGAATTTAAACAAAGCAACTACCTCCTCAAAAATGGAAAAAAATGAATGTTTACTGGTATGGGCCTTTTTCACTTTTCACTGTCAAATTCAAAATCCTTGGCCTAAATTTATAATATTCAAATTTTAAGATTTTGATACATGGGTCCCATAAATTTTAAATTTTTGATACGAGCGTGCTATACTATACTACTGCTAAAACACTTTACTCTCTACTGCTAAAATACTTTACATTCGATCTTCAAAATTTTCTAAAAGGGTTCCTGACATGGACAGTTGATCAAACGATGCGTTACTGTGCCGCGCCGCGCACTCGCACTCAATTATGCTTCTCGCAACAATCGGCAAAATGCGCTACTGTGCCTCGCCGAGCTGCAATGAATTGACATCGTTAATTAAATCAATATACAAACCTAAATAATTTAATGTATTTCCAAATGCTGATTTTTAGGTTTATTATCTACCAATATGCGTGCACCAAGTTCAAAGTTGGACTCGTCGCAGACGGTTTTTACTTGGCACGCCAGTCCCTGTGCGCAGCGCTCTTTTCTACGTAAGATCGGAGTGAGTAATAAACTAGCAAGCTACGTTATAATTGTAGCGCGATGCACTACTGGGCCGCACCGCGCATCTTTTCGGTAGATCGTTGACCATTGTTAATGGTTTGGCCCGGCGCGTGGTACTTCGTAGCACTTGCCGTCGGGCCATTTCGAGAATGGAGAAGAAAGCGGCGCGCGCTACTTCGAATAAATTTAGACGAGTATCATCTGTCAATGTAGATCGGCGCGGCGAGATGCACCACCAACCACTAGGCCTCGCCGAGCTGCGAAGGATTGACATTGTGAATCAAACGATGGTCTTGGAACAAATATTTTACAACAAGTACCCAGCTGTCACTAATTCGCTCGCCCAGTACAAAACGGTTTTACATAAACCTTACCTAGTGGGGACCTCAGGCTATCATTTTCATAAACATAACCGAATAGAGATTTGGCGGAATGACAGGCTGAGCACGGCCCAGTAAGATAAACCCTAACATATTCCAAACCTAACCCTTACTGGGCCGCGCTTTGACCATTGTTAATGATCTGGCCCGGCGCGCGCTACTTCGTAGCTCTTGCCATCGAGAAGAAAGCGGCGCGCGCTACTTCGAAGAAATTTAGACGAGTAACATCCGTCAAGGCCGCGCTAAGCCTGTCATTCCGCCGAATCTCTATATGTTTATGAACATAGTAGCCTGAGGTCCCCAGGTAACCCTAACCCTAACCATAACCCCGAAGCTATCCATAACCTTTACCACAACCTTAAATAATATAACCCTAACCACTAACCCGAGCCCTAAACAATCGAATTCATGTTTTACTAGCCTGTCACGTGACCAAAACGGGTTTTGGCCCATAACTCGACTCTCCAGGGAAGCATTTTTACCATACTACTACTACTATACGCACTATATACGTCATGGCGCGGGGTGATTCGGAATCAGCGTCCAAAAATACACCGCTTTAGATCAATTTCATACCCAAAGGGCCTTTTCACAAGAATTTTCTTAAAATTTGGGTGAGCGATTTAGTATAGTAGGAGCGCAAGTACCCAGCAAAAGTTACTGGCTGACGGTGTTACTCGAGGTGGTTTAATTTAAACAGTCGGCTTGACATTAAACATGATTTGCAGGCGTGGCCTGGCGCATTCAATGTTCATGCTGATGCAGTTAGCACGTGACACAATTCAGCCAATCAGAGTACAAAAATCTGCAAAGTTAAAGTTGCAAACTTTTGATCTGCACAAAATGACACTTTTCTGAAGATTCGATACCTCAAAATCTACGTTGTCTTAAATAAAATTTCCCCCTGGGGGAAACCTTACTTTTATGTTTTACAAGACGAACATGTTGCAAAAAACCGGAAGTCGCTATCTCTTTTACTTTTGAAGTTAGCCCCTGGCCAGTAAGGTTTTCTTGGTATCACCCGTTAAACTCTGATTCCGAATTCTACCCCATATTACATATGGTTAAAACACTCCCCTGGCAAGATATCATCGAAAAACTGTCTTGATCACGTGATACCATTTTACACTCGCTCTAACCAAAACCCATGCGCTTATATTACAGTGTTAATTGACGAAGTCAATTCATCGTAGCTCGGCGAGGCACAGCTTAGCGCATCTCGCCGTGTAATAATGTTTTGTATCACGTCCCCCATTGTCGTTTCACTAAGTGTTTTGTAACACGTCGTGACCCACTTTATCGTTTTTACGCTACAGGGGAGCCGTGCACTCGTGTGCGGCGGGTCATACAACGTATAACTATAACAATTCAGAGCGTGCCGTCATGGTCGATATTACGAAATCCTTATTAATATTAGAGGCCATTATATTTCTACTGCGTGGGGTTGACTATTAAGTTTCTATAATTTATAGTATAAAGGAGGTGGTTGGCAGAACCACCTGTATTTAATCGCTATTGTTAGAATAGTATTCTACCTATTCACAAACTTTATAATGTCATTTTACTTAAATATGATTTTAGCTAATCTACAAGCACTTACTGGGGACCCCAGGCTATAATGTTCACAAACATATTATACTAATACAGATTCCACCGAATAAAGATTCGGCGGAATGACAGGCTCAGTCTGAGTAAAGAAGCACCTGCTCAAATTGCCTTTAAATTCAATCATTAAATCGATTCAATGATTTCTCTCCTAACAGCAGACTAGGCATTAGTGCCATAATATATTTGATTTTGTTGCCATCACAAATATACATATATCAATACAGTAACAACAACTGGTATATTTTGTGAACTCTCGCTTAATTAAAGGTCTATTTGGCAAATTATTCGCAGCTGAAAAACCTGGTAATGAACACACCTGGCTCAGATTTGTAATCTTTGACAATAAAACGGTAATTTTTCTTTACCAATTATACATAGTCATAGTGTATAGTACAAAACTATTGACTACATGTGGTAAGCCAGTTTCTGTGCAATTCGAAATTGCATTGATTAATATTTTATTTTTGTTATTTTTTATTTTTCTCAGATTATGTTAGTGTCCAATAAAATATGACCAGCTTTTACAAAAAAGTTCGTTTCACTGCTCATACTATTTAAAAATCACTCAATTTCGCCTGGATAAAAGATTCTGTCTGGAGATCCAATAATATAAGGGGTACAAAATTATGCTGATAGATGACTCTCCTGCAGCTGCTATCTTAACGGGTGATACTCGTAAAATATTTGTTCCAAGGACCGTCGACGAGTCCAACTCGGCGCGCGTCCTGGTAGGTTATAAACCTACAACTGCTATCCAAATATGAAGGAATTTGATATTGACGCAACAATTGGCTTACTAGGCCATCTCAAGTACAAATCATGATTTGTGCATTTGCAGGCGAATTATCAATTATTGTCAAGATACAATTCAGAATACAATTCTATGGGAAATTGTCCAGGTTTTGCGGGTGAATAGTTTCTTGTATGATTTGAGCAGCCCATTTTGTGAATAAAAACACACTGTCATGAGAATTTTAGGGGGACTTAGATTTTGTGGGGTTAGGTCTTTATTGTAGCTTTGTAGGATTTGAAAAACACGTAAATTAGAGCGATTGCCTTATTATATTGTAACCGCCGACAGACACATACCGTTCTTAACTCAGCTCTGATGACCGTTACTTCAACCAACTACTCGGACATCGAATTCGGCATACAGAACAATGCAGAGAGATACTTTTTGGCGTCTTACTACAGGGTGGGCCAAAAGTCAGTGTGCAAACGTTGGGTCTTATACCTCCGCCGTGTTTTATATTTGAGAGCTGTTGCTTTGCAGATGGCATACTGTACTTACTGGTTCGAGGATTCCGTCGTCAAAATTTGAAAATTCGAATATTTTAGACCACGCCCATTCAATATTAAAACACCTATATTGTTTTCTCTGAACATGCTGAACGCCTAATTTTTTTAGAGACGGCAGATTATCAAATGTTGCATATGATCTGAAAACATGAGGCAAAACGGATTAGAAATGACGAAGTTATCAAGCATTTTGTGTATCTCGTTAACAAAATTGACTGGGTGATTATGTGACACCGTGACACGACACCTTAATTGGGCACCCTTAACAATTCCCATAATGTTTAACGGGGTCGTTAACGGGGTCACCTTATCACGTGATTAGGTAAACCAATCACCTGATCACACGTAATGAATAAACTCGTTATGCTTCAAATCTCGGTCATATGAGAAGCTACAGTTCTAATTCTTTCAGGACAAACGTAATTCGAATGGCCAAACACAATTCAATAACATTTAGCTTGATCCGACTATCCAAACTATCAAATAAATGTGAAAATGAACATCCATTTGAAAAAAATGAACGCGAATATTTTTCGAGTTGACAAATTCCTCGAACCAGTGGTGGTACTAAGTCATACCAGAAGGAAGTATTTCAATTGGGCACTCAGTGACTGAGCTATTAAGGCCAACGTTTGCACACTG